GGTTAACCCCAGCAGGGAAGTGTATAGTCTCTTCCACAGCAGTGTTCTGCCAGTTGATTGCCAGAAAGCTTTTACTGCTGCTTCACATCCAATACTGCCCATCAAAACAGTCCTTTCCTCACAAGTGTCACCAAAAGTTGGCTGCCTCCTTCTTTTTGTCTTTGACACTCCCGCTCCTAAAGGGTTTCTTTTCCTTTTGTAGGGTTCCTGAAATGCGGCACTGACCTCCAGTTGGTTACCGCCCCCGGCCTTCCTTCTCCACCCGCCTTCCACCATGGCAGCCTGCTTGGTGCGACGCTGCTGCTGGCGGCACTTCGCTGCCTTCATCTCTACTCCCTCGGCAGTCCCGGCTTCTCTGCTGGGGCCAGCTGGGAAGGTGGCGATGGCAAGAGCTCTGCCTCAGACACCCTTGGCTTCGTTTCATAGTTCAAGCCCTTCCAGTTGGGCAGATGGATTCTCAGTCATAGAGCAGGTGGAGGACAGCAGAAACCCAGAGCACAAAGTGATCAGGGAACTGACTGAAACGGCCACAAGTCCTCAGGAGCTCCTCCAGTTGAGCGAAGACCATGCTCTTAACAGCAACCAAGCCTCACTAATAATTACTCAACTTTCCTGGCTCGCAGCGGAAAAAAAGCTGGAAACAGAGAGTATTCTGCAAGATGAACGTTTTGAACAGCTCATCAGCATCACAGATTCCCAGGTAAGTTCCCTCTTTGCAGCAGAAGCAGTTTGGGAAAGAGCACAAGGTGGAAAGTGGACAGAGCTCCTTGGAGTGAACCGGCTGCTTGTTTAGGGTTTGTACTTTGCCTTTCCAAGTAAAAGATGAAGTTGAGGGGACCAGGCGGTGAAATTACCAGCTCTAGGCAGGATGCTTGATAATTTCTATCTAAAAGCACTGCTTTTTGTACCAGACGCAAAACATAGCGGAGAGATCATCCTCGCTAAATGCTGCCTTGCTCCTGTCCCCACGAATTTTCCATTCTCTCAGTAAGATATAGCAGCACCTTTGCCAGTTAGTGGCAAAGATGCATCAGATACCCGCAGCCAGACAGTGGAGAGGCCACGGGGTAAGATGGGGCATCTGAAGGGAACCAGTGCACCCTGCTCGGCACCTCGTACTGTCAAACCCCGGCAGCCCCACTGAATTCAGCGCCGTCCACTGCAGTTGGTGCTGGCCCAGCCAGCAGCTCTGGAAATACCCACAGCTCGTGGGCCCCACATTGTGGGATCATGGGATGGTTTGGGTTGGAAGAGACATGTAAAGGCCATCTAGTCCAACCCTCTGCCATGAGCAGAGACATCTTCAACCAAAGCAGGTTGCTCAGAGCCCCATCCAACCTGACGTGGAATGTTTTTAGGGATGGGGCATCCACCACCTCTCTGGGCAACCTGGGCCAGAGTTTCACCACCCTTGTGGTGAAAAATTTCTTCCTTATGTCTAGTCTAAATGTCTTTTTCTTTTTTTTTTCTAGTCTAAATCTGCCCTCTTTTAGTTTAAAACCATTGCCCCTTGTCCTGTCACTACAGGCCCTGCTAAAAAGTCTGTCCCCATCTTTCCTATCAGCCCCTCTCACCCCGGCAGCTGCAGGAAGGTCTCCCCGGAGCCTTCTCTGCTCCAGGCTGAGCCCCCCCAGCTCTCCCAGCCTGTCCTCCCAGCAGAGCTGTTCCAGCCCTCGGAGCGCTGCTGGGGCCTTCTCCGGCCG